ATCCGCGACGGATTTCGAAACGTCAGGCGAATATAGTTATTGTCGCAGCGATAACATCTACCTCTTCTCATTACCTCAGTCCTTTGACCCAATTTTGACAAACTCGACAGCGTCCTTGAGATTGGAACCCACGCCTACACGTGGAAGACTTTAGTACATCCAGGGCTACAGCTACGACGCCTCCATGGGAAGTCGTGCGTTTACTGACATTTGCGTCAGTAAGTATCAACTAGCCTAGTCCACGGATATTTTCGTCAAACAAGGATATCTGTTTTTGAGGAAATTTGTTTGCTGTCTTTGTTTGCCGTGCTCCTTGTTTCTTCTCTCGTTTCTTGTTCGTTCTTTTTCTCTTTCTTTCACTCTCTCTTCTTTCTATTCTTGTTCTTATTTTTTGCTAACCTTCTTGTTTTCTCGCTCGTTTCTTCCCCCATTCTCTCTCTTCCCCTCTTCTTCTCGTGCAGCACCTGCTATACAGTGCTCATCTCCGATTTGTTTTCCTTTTCAGCAGTGCGCCCATCCCACCTCAAGCGACCGATAGCTAGACGGTGGGCTGTCGCTGGCGGTGGGAGGGGGAGTAAGGTCGACCCTGCGTGCATTTCTTTCCTCACTTTGATCAACCAAATGTGCTTGAAACTATCGCAGTGCGCTAAAAAAGCCGTGGCTTGGAGAGTTGCCAGCTGACGGGATAACTTGGACAACACAGTCAGTCCAGTGTGAGTCCAGTTGTGCGGAGTGGCTGTCTGCAGGCTGAGAGTCAGGCTCAATGGTTCCGTCTTACTGTGGCCTTTATGGCACTCTTCGTCGGGGGCCTACCTAGCAAGACGTGCTATCGGTACGCGTGTTGAGTGTTGGTCGTGCCAGCCGTCTGCGCCCCTCCTCATTTCCGGCCTTCTTGACTCTGTCCCAAAAACCAGGTCCTGGCATGAGAGGGATTAGATAGTGGGGTAGATTCTCCGCTCGTGTGATTTCGCTCTAAATCTCGCGGAAGTCACCGTGTGCTTCACCTGGTTGAGGTTCTGGTGGACATTGTCGAAATCGGCGGTAGAACTGTTAAGCAATGAATGACTTCCTAAGTAGTATAACAGTTTCTCTCAGAATATCGGTGCGCATATATATTAGACTATATTTTATGAAGAACATCCATGAAACTTCCCCCTTCCAAACAAACACTTTTACTTGCCAAATAATCTTGAAGCGGACATGCTTCTCAAAATGCACTAAGAGTTTAGAAAGTACATGCTGTATTTGGCCCGTGTAAATAAACTCACATATTTCATATCGCATACTACTAATAAAATTTTGCAGTGGTTTTGAACCATGCTGGTTAGGTTGCATGCAGCATTACTGAAAGGGTAGATACGATGCCTTATAAAAAGGCATTTCACGGATTTAAGTATCCAGCGACGAGAGACATCTTTAAAACCAATCAAAACACATTCTGCAAGTTAAACGTTTTATGCACATTCTCTATAAAATATTTTTAACTTTTTATAGTCAAATTCTATATTAGATACGGGACCTGTATCTGCTACTGCCCTCTGATTACGAGGCTGATGACAAATCCACGACGGATCTCCAAACGTCATGCGAGTAAAAGTATTGGCTCAGCGATCAAGTTTTCTTCTAAATTCTAAACTATACACCCATTTTTGTAGTCGGTAAACAAGAAACTCCTTTAAAGGCATTCTGGACTACCACATGTAGCTTGAGATTATACCATAAGATAATTTATCGAAAGCCTCTTTAAGAAAATCTTGTCAAAGTAACAACACAAGTTTAAAATTTCGCTTGCTATTTCATTAGGTAGCAAGTCTAGGTTAGAGGGAAAACGGAGAAAACCATTATCATTAACTCACACCTACCAGCGGGTAGATGCTATCCAACAGCAACCATGGCGAGATGACTGGTAAAATCGCCCTTAAACAACTACTTTTGCGCTAAGTCTGGGCCAAAATTATGGGCTTGCACAAAATTTTTCAAAACGTCTATGTTTTTAATTTTCAAACGCCGCCAAAAATCATCCCGAAGGCTGGTTAAAACCTTCGATTAATTTAATTATCAAGAGATAGTTCAGCCGCAATTTCCAACCGTTTATATTCTGATTAGTTGCCTCAACTTGCAAATGGGATTATTTTGGAATATTAGATCATCATGTGTAAAAAAACCTTTTTTTAACTGACTGATCTAAAAAAACTTTTCGCCGCTTTCGAGACCTCCAGCGAAGCAGACACATATAGGAGCTCTTAGCATATAAACAATTCTTCAGCGTTTTTTTAATCAAATAACAAGATGCCTGAACCGATACCGCTCGCAAAAATCCACTTTTTTAATATAGCTAATGGATCTCCTCGACTTATATTGTTGGCAGTGGTAACTTACTACTATGTTTGCGGCTTACCGAATCTCCGTGTCTCTCTCGCTCTCTGCGCCAATTAGACAAAAGTCGCGTCTGATTGGTGGGTGGATACTGTGCATTTGCAATTCGCAAGCGTGTATTAATCATGGCCTGAAAAGCGGTCATACTGTTTGCATTTAACATCGACGGCCGCAACGTGGTTTCAATTCCCAGCGGAAAAATTGTGCAAACTGCTACTACTAGCAATGGATGGCTAGTGAATCACTTATCCTCCTCGAGCTTCTTCAATCGTTGGTTTGCACCAAGGTGTGTTATTGAAGTAAAACTCCTACTAGCTACTTATTGTTTTTGCATCTTTTGTCTTCGATACTACTTTTTATACGACCCTAAAAGTCTTGACTTTGTGCATGAAACATCTGTTAAGGACTGCAAATGCTTTAGGAAATTGGGTGTGCGTGCTTAACCCAGACTGCGGAAATTCGGTACATGTTTGGAAAATCGTCTTCTACCGTAGCATTCAACAAGGTCTGCCGTGTGCTCCATAGCCTGCCGGTGTTGGAACGGTAACTTACGCGTGGATTATTTTTAAGTGATGGTGGACTTGCATTGCGTTGTGCACACTCTTACTTCCCTTGGCCACGCGTCTCCGGCGTCAGGACAGAGTCAAGAAAACCGGCAGCGGATTTGGGCGTGTATTTATACGAAAGGAAAATGATCTTTCGGAAAATCGAGTTGTGCTCGTATATTTTCGAAACAGGTATCACTTGTTCGTCATCAAACTAGATGAAAAGTGAAGGCTGGGAATATTGCACTGGAGGTTTTGGCGTCAGAGGTAACAAAGAACTGGGATGTGGATATATATAAGTTTGGATTTCTTAAATGAGGGGAAGGTGAGGGTTTAGAATCGGACTTTAAAATTCAATGAACGACTGAGTTTAATACGATCAACTACTATGGAATAAACACGTTATGCCCACTCCGCAAGGAAATAGTACTGCAGGTACATTATATTACATATATAGAAAATATTTTATACCGTAGTCCCGACAAAGTTTCTAACTAGAAGCACAGACCCATGTTTCTCCTGCTGCCAGATGTGCCAACGAGGGGTTCAGCTCCTCGTTGAGCCCCCCAGCTTTCTCTATATGGTTTCTGGTATGTGAACGCCAGAAGGTAATCATGAGAATACTTTCAGAAATTATTAAGTACGCATAAATTTTTATGTTCATTGCGAAATGTGAATGCATATAGTATGTAGTGTGCATGCCTATCTGCTCAAACGAACGATTGTGACAGTTCTGCAGTCCACAATGTCTGTTTTCTTATCTGTCTAGAGAACTATGTACAGTAAAATCGTTTTGTTGAAATACCAAAGTGAAATATTTTCATATGGATTTCGTACCAAATGATCAACCTTGTAAAATTCAATTCATCCAGATCCTGACTACTTGGCATTTTATTTTTGGCATACACTCTCAAAAGAGTTGCTTATTTTATTGTAAAGAAATAGCATATACAAACAGTTACTACAATATGAGCGCTCAAACACCGCTTTAGCAGAAAATGGAACTTGCTGTCGCATGCAGTTGCTTAAGTGGGTATCTTAAGTGCACTAACACAGGGATGGCAGTCTTTAGGACAAGGCTTGAGTTTATTATCCTATGCATAATACCTAGCCATCGTCTGAAGCAAATATTATTTCCGTGCAATTGCTTAGGCCGATACAGTTTCGTTTTACAATCTGAGCAGCAATTCACTAGGCTATCATTATTTCAAGTAAAAATATAACTACTGGTTGCTTCCCAAGGTCAACGAGGGTGACCTAGAAATAGCAAAGTACTACCTTTTAAACTCGTATCTTTTTTAAAAAAAACCTCTCTTGGATCGGCGCTGTGGAATAAGTGGATCGAAGTAGATGTAACAGTCACTTAATTCTGCCATGCTTTTGCTAGTACACATCAGAAGAATAATATTATATTCGACAATGAATGGATGAAAAAGTGCGCGTTTCATGTGTTTGCATCGATAAAGAAGAAGACTTGTCGAACACCAGATCATTTTTTATTGTCCTGACCTTTCCATCGTCAGAGATATGACGCCGCATGCTCTATAATTAGGCCTATATTGTTTGCTGACAGCTGAGTAAACGTTGATATCACTGACAGCGCATTAACGTATGCCTCTACATTTGCTCCCCTTCCCCTGCTTTTTTCATCATTGTTTATGACCTACCGACCTCTGACAGCGGATTATTGTGCACCCACTATAATTATACACAATTTGTTTCTGTTCTTTTCTCTGGCGATGAACTTCTCCAAACAAAATTGATCTGGCGCTTGACAACCATTCCTTGTTGTCCATACATTCGATAACGATTTTCACTCCCTGTTAGACCACAGGTTTTGGATTAGATTAATAGATTTCAACTAGTGTGGAAAAGGTTTGATATCAATGAGCTTAAAGCGTCCTTAGAAGCGGAAAACGAGTCTTAGATTTATTTGCGCTCTCGTTTGGAAAACGGGTTTTCCCGGGCGCTGACGTGACAGCTTTTTTGTATGTTCGTTTCGTCATGCGATCAAAAAATATATCACAGCCAAACCTGCTGCTACCGTCTTTCTTTCCCGTCCACAAGGGACACTCCTGCATGAAACCCTGTGAATGGCCTCCATTCCTGTTCCTCCTCTTCTTTGTCATCGCCGTGATCCTGCCCTTGCCCGCGGCGTCGGCGGCCGCTCATCGACCCGCGACGACCTCCACGACTACTTGGCAGCAGGAGAGGGAGATTTTTAAACTGCAGGGTCCACGAAATGCATCCGTCCGCCGGAATGGCAGCGTGGTCCTGCCCTGTCGTCTGCTGGTGGCCCAAGCCAACGCCTATCGGGAGCACATGTTCCAGCCCTGGCACGCGGCACCACGCTACAAGATCTCTGTGCAGTGGAATATTGACGACTTTGGCTATGCAAACGATACGCTGACGGACAGTTTTGGTGGCCGGTACAGGATGCCGGGACCGTTTAGTCAGGGTGAGGTGATTGGATTTGCATCAGTAAATTTTATAAAACATGCCCTACATGGAACCAAAAAGTGACTGCGTATATGCAAAAACGACTGGTTTTCAGCCGGAGGTAGACGTGCCATTTTGTGATAATTTAACCTCAATTCTGATTGGTTTTAAAAAGGTTAAATCAAAATGTCGACCTAGGTTACATGCATTTACCCTATTGTTTCTCGATACATTTATAAATCCAAATGCATTTAATGAAAACTGCGCGTTAAATAAATGCTTTCCTTTGCAGATCAGGCAGCAAATAACGCCATTTTAAAGTTGCATTCTTTAAGAAGGGGTATTACTAAGCACTTACATTCCAGTTTTTTAAAACTACGCGCTGAATATTTCTAAAAGGCGTCTTTATAGAAGACGTCTTTAAGGGCGCAATAAATGTTTCAGAGGACCAATGTCACCTTGTGTGTTTTACAGACAGCATTAATAAACGTGGAGGGGTAGAATGCTTTCTAAATGGGCATTTCATGATTCTTTAAAATTCCACAATTGGAAACGCTTTGAGAACCAAAGGATACCTTTTTTCATGTAAAGAAATAGTGTAAATATGACGTACTTTCACGTGTTATGCATTTTTCTATGCAACATATAGATATATTGGAACCTAAAAGAAAGTTGAAACCTAAATGATAAAAGCTCTCGCTATTCAAGTAACCTTTTTGTACAAGGTGCAGATTTTGGAGGCGTTCAGTAGCGCTCTTTAAATGACCCGTATCGTGACATGACTGAAATTTGTTGGGATACCCCTCCACGATAAATGAATTTAAACACGCAATGACAGATCTTGGGATTTGGTTGACATTCCGTGAGATGGCTCATTTACTGTAGATGTGATATCGCACGAAACGTTCCTTGGCATTTTGGAATATGTTTTCAGTCAGTTCCATTGTTGCTTGCCTGACAAAATAATCCCAAACCCGTTTGGCAAAATTGTGCATTCAGTCTGCAGATATGCCTTTACTTGGTTGCCTGCAAGGATTGCGCCCCATGTAAACAGTTCAGCTTATTGTTACTAGCAGCGTAAGGATTTTGATATTGCATAGAACGGCATGCACGAGCCTAAACCACCCTTTTCGTATTTGAAATGCATTTGGGTACTTTTTAGTTGTGTGTAAAAAAATGCAACGCGTGAACTGCTGTTTTTCGCCCGAACAGTTGCTGTACTTGCGGTTAGCGTACCAAGTCTACAGGCTCTATACCACCTCCTTCTCCGCAAAAAATAACTAATCAGCTGGGCTGTTAAAATTGTAGAATGTAAGGCTGACATAACCGCGGATTACTTATGGACTTTTTTCACGCCTTGATAAACTGGCTCATAAAAATCCATAGGTGCAAACTAAGTAGCCGAGCGGTACTGCTTCTTCGAGTATTATTGCCAAAAGCCCGTTACTAACCATAAAATATGTATAAAAATGGAAATCGAGACTAATTTCCGTTTGGCATATTTTAATATCTATGAAGTTAGAGAATTACCGGAGAAAAAAATGGATTGACAACAAACTGTCGTTTATAGGTAGTGCAAGTTTTGCAGGTGACGTTTAAAACGCGCATTCAATATTTAGTATCGTAATTTTTAACGTTATATTAGCTAATAATACGTCTCCATCTAAGTTATTCTCTCTAATCAAAAAGAGATTTCAAATTTCGGTTGACATCTTAGATGATATGCAGTCGACCGTGGATGAACTGGTTGCTTTAAAAACCGGATGGTTTGATGCCGACATAATGTTTTAAATGTCAAGCAGTGTATACTGTTAAATTTCAAAAGGCGAGGGAACCCTCATTTTAAGAACATATATCTTAATACAATTCTCCCGGAAGTTTCCTGCATGCAAGTGGGTGTTTTTAAATTTTACGTTAGCCTGGCAGCAAACCTTTGCAGCAGAATGTAGATAACGTAGAAAAGAAGCACCCAAAATAACATTTTTATTACCAGCAAAATGGTCACCATAGGCTCGACGAGGTAAAGGAGCTAAAAACATATCACCTGCATCAAAGAGATAAACAAATTGGAAAATATTTCCCGGAAGTTTGTTTGTTTTACCCCTAATTATAAGTAATTAGTATGGGAAGGAGTTTATGGGAAGTTCAGGTAAACAAATCTTTAGTGTTTCAAGGCGTGACAAAATATTTGCTCATAAACACGTCTACATGATAACAGCATTTATACAGCAATGTGAAAACAGATTTTTGTAACAGCATAATCTATTACTAACCGTAAGAAACGTAAAACCTGTTTACTTTGCATCGAAAGAGTGCCTAAACCCCTAAACATAAATAATCTGTCATCTAGTAGCGAATATACGACTTCTAGGAAGCAGTTCAGAAGAAAAAGATGCGATCACTGGAGCAATAATTTTATTTTCCTGACGTTTCGGATGCTGTCGCGAATTCATAATCACAGGTAATCGTGGGACAGTGTTAGACATGCGCAGATAGTGTTGATAGTGGTGTCAAGAAATTACCGCACCAACTAAGGCACGGATCAGTGGTTACAGCAGTCGATTATTATAGTACGCATGCGGACGACTGCTTCAATCTATAAATAACGTGCAATCTTTGCATTTGTCACCCCAGTCTGCGCATATGTCACACTGTCCTACGGTTACCTGTGGTTAGGGACTCTCAACATAATCCAAAACGTCAAGATAATAAAATTATTGTTGTAGCGATCGCAGCTTCCTTTTCTGAGCCTCTCATCTTTTCCATTAAAATAAATCTGAACTTGCGTGCAAATATTAATTATTATTTTGTCATAGAAAATCGAAATCATGCTGAAGCATCCTAAAAATAATTTCAATCTGTTACTGTATGTAAATCTTGGCACTGGTGCCTTAAATACCTTATTTGAATTACGTTCTGAAAAGGGAAGCTGTTTGACGTACAATTCTTGGCAGACTAACAAATAATTTAGGTATGCTCCCCAGGCATGTCAACAAAACACAGGCGAGGACTACTCACACGTCACACCTTAAAAAGACGACGCCACTTGATGTTGACTTGTCCTTTGTAAGTAAGCGATAGATTACCTCCCCATAATGCGTACAACAACACGTATAGTACCTTATGAAGAGAAGATAATACACGTAAAACTGAGTGTAAGACTAGTCAAAATGAAAAGTAGTATTTCTCATACAGCTATTGGCTAATCAGTAAATATAACAAATTCCCTCGTTTCTGACACACAAGGCAAAATATTCGTTACAGATTTTCCTATAAGTTCGCTATGACATTCCTATAATTCATTTGCAACGTCGTTGACGGCCTCAGTAAAATTGTAAACCACGACACCCTTAGCGCTCTAGCCGCCTAAGCGTCAAGTGAATTATTCGAATTTCCCATGAGTGCGACGCATTTGTAAAAAACTAGCCTGGGAGGGTCAGTGCAACAATCACACTCTCCTTACCGAGATAAAGGACAAGATAGGATTGCAAAATTATTGCATTTGTCTGCTAACTGTCAGCATTGCTGTCGGCTGTCTAAATCTTTGACTTTCAAAATTTAAGGTAGTCTATGCAGTGCTTATTTCGATGACGACACTTTTGCTCGTAATTTTGGTACTTTTGAATAACAAAATATGCTTTGACATGTTTACTGACTGTTGTTTCACCTGTCCATAATCGACACGGTAGGAAATTTCCCAAGGAGATCTGTGTATACCGAAGATTCGGCCCGTTCTCTTTGCCGGGGGGTGTCAGTGTCTCCGAATATCCGGGTCACAAGACTACAGATGTTTAGGTATGCCTAATACGTAAGAAACATTGCAGTTGGTTAAGGAAAAACATATCAAAATAAAAAACAACTTTTGAAAGAAATATCTACAACTTCAGAAATTCTGATTGCTTGGTCTTCAACTTGTCAAAATATTGCTTAAAGAGATTTACACGCAATCATTTAGACTGAGTGTACTCCATAGTCACGGAGCATGACAATGTTATAAATTCTTCCATAACGTTCTGTAGTTTTGTATTTAAATTTAGATTCATATATATACATAAGTAAAGGATTATCTCTCAAAATTTTCAAAGACACAAAGTTGGTTCAGATGTCATCAATAAGGCGTTTGCATTCAGCTATTTTCTGTCCATTAACTATCCAAATGTCAGAGCAAAAATATTTACATGAAGAAGACGTATAATTCACACGATCCTCCTCACACCGCGCCGATGGTGTGTGGCTTATAACCAAAGTACTTAAGGTTTAATAACAAATTATTCGAACCTCGAACTTCAGCACACATATTCAGCTCGTGAGGAAATCGGCTTCGGAAGCATAAACTAAAATGCAGAATAAATCGCTTGGAAAAAGTTGGATTTGGAAAATACTCACTCCTAGCACGTTCAGCAGTAACGCCACAGCAGGCTTGCAGGTTTGTCGAAATGCACATTATAAACAATTTCTGAACCTTACGCGGAATCCCATTCATTGTTTTTCCCCGCAAGAGCGTATTTTGCACAAGTTACTTCAAATTATAAAAAGAATAACCAGGATTTACGGAATTCTTAGAAATACGAATTTATACCTAAATTTATAATTTTCTGAACTGCGAAAAACCTTTCTTAACTTTGATTCACTGAATTTTAAATAACCAGAATATAAAAATAAAAGCAGTTAACATCTTTTTGACTTTATTTTAAATGACTCGGTGACTTTGCTGGTCTTATAACAAACGATATCAAGAGATAACCTTGCGTACGGTCAATACTCCTCAAATTTGACAAGATTGCGGTATTGAATGCGCAACCATTAGGTCCCTGCATAAACTGCATTCGCGCAATCTATTTATTAATCTTATATCCCCGCTGGCTATTGGTTTCCGATGCCATAATAAATCAAATATATTTTTGCTAGAAACATGCTTAAAAGTATCGTTTTATGTACTTATTTAACATATTTTTACGGCTTACACAAAATTTGCAATTTGAAAAGATTTTGAGATTTTTTGACCGTACGAAAATTACTATTGTCATATAACATTGGCACATTTCTTCATATGCTTTATGCTGTCTAAAGTCTTATCAATATAT